TGTGTGTCTGTATGCGTGTGTGTGTATGTATGCCTGTGTGTGTGTGTGTGCGTGTTTCTTGTGTAAGCTGAAAGACGCGAAAAATTATTGAAATATCTATTGCTCCAAGGCCTTGGAACCCTTGCAAGGGTTCAGGGGATCTCGTAGTCGAGCAGTCTCGACTAGAGCTTTCTTACTTGTTATATTATATTGTTTTCTTTTTCTTCCTTCACTTCCTTCCCTTATCTTTAGTTATCCACATCATTTTTACAATTTATTCGTGCCAATATTATAAGACAATGAAATAATAAGGCGCTAAATGAAAATTTAACGTGACTGCCATCCCTTCCGTCGCAATGGACCCCGATGGGATTTAATAGTTATAATTAAACGGAATTAACCAGAAACGTATTCATAAAATATAATAATAAAATTGTTTAGTATAAGTGATGTAAGGAACATAAATAAATGTTGGATTTTAGTGATCAGTTGTAATATATAAAAGAAGAGCAGATCGAACAGACTTTGTCCGTCTGATTTTCCGTAGGCTTGAACGCGTTGATTCGGAGTTGCTGTCGATGCTGTAAGTGTAAACACTTAAAATAAATGTAGGTTATAGCGCAAGCGATGGGAAAAAACAGAAGCTAAACTCTAAACACGCAGCATTCAATTAAACTTTTTGCCAGCCGGCATTTTGGGCCACAAAAATGAAGAAGAAGAAGAAGAACCAGGAGAACTCTCGACTTCAATTAACCAACTATAAACAAGCTGCCAACTGGCAACTGGCAAACTGCAAAAGGTAGTCGCAGCATTAAGAGCTAGTCAGCTACTTTGCCAGCTTGCCAGCTTGCCACCTGGCCATTGTGCCACCTGGGCTGCCTCTGAGCTTACCTCAAAATGCAGTCCAAAGGGGACTTTAACTTTAAGTCGACTGAGCGAAAGTTCTTGTTTATATTTTATGTGTTTTGATTTGCTTATGTTCCTTCACCGAGTGCAGCGCCGTAGCTGCTTGCAACGTGCAACAGCTTCACTTAATTGTGCCGAGGGCTGGCAGCAAACGTTCTGCGTCAATTTACTCTAGTTTTGGAATATTTGTGTTCTGGTGAAGATCGAGCACTAGCACGTTGCCAATGTCAAGGGCATCAAGTGTGGCAGGTGGCAAGCGTGCTTACACCCGCGGCAGGCACACGCACGCACAACAGTTGGCTTCGGGGCTAACGCGGCGTATGCATAACTTTTTGCATTTTGTCGTAAGTCGGCACTGAAATGAGATTTCCTTCCGATCGAGCGACTTGCGGCACGCGCGTCTCCGTTTGGCTTGCGGCTGCGGCTGCTGCTGCATGCAACGCGTAACGAACTGACTGGCTGCCAAACAAAGCGCCTTTTGCCAAACGAACTTGACTTCAGTGGAAAGCCGAATAAGGCAAATTCCAACAAACTTTTGGTGAGTCGGCGCAGTGCGTTGCACGTGCCACACAGCACACAGCACACAGCACACGCCACGCGCCACACGAGTGGCGCCAGCAGCCTTCCAGTCGCGGCAAGCCAAATGTTTGTTTACATTTTGCACAGGCAGCAGCAGCAGCAGAGGCAGCGGCAGCATGTGGCAAGTGTGCTGCTTGTGCCCCATCATCAATTTATGTTTTGCCTACTTTCGAGCGGGCTCTACTAAATGCTTGAAATATGACTTGCAATCGATACTAGACGTACGTAGGCAATACTTTTCCCAAATAAAAGTCTACATTAATAGCACTTGCCACATGCCACACACGAGCCCCCAGTCCTGTCCATGTCGGCTCTGCCTGCCTGGCTGCAGTTTTGCTGCAAAATTTGAGCAACAAGCTTGTTAAAAATACGTGCAGAATATTAAACAGATACCAAACACAGGCACACATACATACACACAGAGACACACACACACACAGCCACACAGGGGAGCTGCTCCTTGCAGCATGCAATGCCTCATACATATTTATAGAGTTCTTAGGGCTATGCTTGTCATGAATATTCGCACTAATTTGCTGCCAATTGAATTTTGACTTTTGCATATTGTTTAGTTCGCTCCTCTTTCTTGCTTTTTTCTTTGAGCTTGGGTGACTTTTGAACTGGTTCGCCAGCTGCTAGGCAGCTAATTCAGTTAATTCTTTCGGTAAAAACTATGGAATTGAGTTATATGAACTAATTCATAGTTAATATCTCTTAATATTTAAATATATATATCAATTAGATCTACAGAAGAAGATATATTTTATTTTTTTAGAACCTGTGACTTTTTAACTAGTTTATTTTTTTCTCAGCTCAAATAGAATAACAAATCAATCTTCCACTGCAAATTGAGACTGTTGAGCTTTCTTACAAGAGACTTACGGAACACATAATATTTATTATAAGTATAAGATCCTCACATGAAGGTCTAATAACAAATTCGATATAGAATATTTTGGAGTCTATAGGAAAACTCATTTAACTTAATCAGAGAGTTAATGAATTTTGCTCAAGTCTAATGCTTATACAGCCCATTTTCAGAACTATGCTGAAAACATTTCTTATCTCTCAATTACTGTTGAAGCTAAATTATGAAAATTTGCTTTTGTTGATAAAAGTTGTGGAAAATTGTTCGCATTTAAAACGCGCTCAACTTACTCAACACCTAGTACATTACCTAACATGCACACACACATACAGACATAGGCTATACACTCACACACACACATACATGAGCAGTGGGCATAGCAAATTTTTATTGGCAAAACTTTTTTAATTATCATTAATGAACATGAAGTGCGGCTCTCTGGGGCATGTGCTGACCGTACAGGCAGAGCTATAGCAACTATAGCAACAACAACGGCAACGACAACAGCAGCAGCAACAACAACAACAACAACAACTTTCGCATTTGCAATTATTTTAATGTTCAATGATGTTGCAACTTGGCAGCCATCGCAATGATTTATTGCCTGGCAGTTCGCCTCAAGTTGCCCGTTCCCAGTTTTGAGTTTGGCTGCAACTTCGACTCTGGCTTTGGCTTTGGTTTTGGCTTTGAATTGGGCTTTTGGTTTGAGAAGGCACACGCCATTCGTTGTGTGAAAGTTGGCAATTAGACAGTCAGTCGCCGAGGGTCACTGCTGCCGTCTCCGAGGGGGCAGAGCGGGCAGAGTGGGCAGAGAGGGCAGATGGGCCAGAGGGGGCCTGGCCAGGCCACGTCAAGCTGATAGTCCATGAAACAGCGTTTATGTCTAATGTCCAACGCATTATAATGCCCGGCCAGCAGATGTACTTATGTACAAGTTTTATGGGCTTGTCGTGCGCAATTTTTGGCTTGCAGATTCCCCTATATATGTATATACCCTGTATTTGAGTAAAAAGAGTATATGCAAAAGTAAAAGCAAACGCTGAGGCTCAGCTCAGTATGCGTAAGCTTAGGATATACTTATGTATGAGTATTATATTATATTGCTGACTGACAAACAGAATCTCATATTTTGCAGGACATTCGCAAGTTCTGCCATCTTGCATTTCCTCCTTCTGCGCGCCCCCAAATGGGCCATAGCAAATGCGAGTAAATTCCAATTAGTTAACTGATTGAAATCGATTTGATGTAAGACATAAAACACGGCGTTTAAAGGGTTCATTTGATTAGAGCCCCATTTCACCATTTGAGGCAAGCGCTTGATGACCTGTAACGGGGTCTGTAAATAATGAAATAAGATACATAATGCATGTACAGCAATATTTACGTGATTTATATGCCAGCCGCAAAAACAATTTGCGGCCCAAAAGCCTTGGTCGAAATTGGAAATTGGAATGCACACAACACACATTCGATATAATGTCAATTTAATATATGTATATATGATACATATGTATATATGATACATATGTGTATCTGTGTGAGTGCATGCAGAGGCCTAGGCACGTTTAGATACACAATCTCACGCCTACAGTTTGGTATCTGTATCTGTATCTGTATCTGTATCTGTATCTGTATCTGTAGAAACCCCATTTTCCATTATCTGTATCTGTATCTGTATCTGTATCTGTATCTGTATCTGTATCAAAAGGAAGCAAGGTTATCTGTATCTGTATCTGTATCTGTATCTGTATCTGTATCTGTATCTGTTGTCTATATCTGTATCTGTATCTGTATCTGTATCTGTATCTGTATCTGTATCTGTATCTGTATCTGTATCTGTATCTGTATCTGTATCTGTATATGTATCCCTCTTTGTCCAAATGCAATGGCTTACAGGGTATACAAACAGGAACCCGGCAGCATTTATGACTATGCGGAATGGGCAAAGGGTCGTGGCAGGTGGCAGGGAAAGAGGCGGTTGTCAGATGGGGCGGAATGCTACCCCTAATATGCGCCGGTAGCACGCGATTTCGAGCTGGGTTTTAAGCGCTGAACAGCGACTGAAGCTCCAGCTGCAGGCCAAGGTTTTGCCTTTGATGGAGACGCCACCATTGTTGCCATGTTGCCCCGTCGACTCAGCCGTAGTCATAGCCGTAGTCGTCGTCGTAGCGTAGCCACGTAAATGACTGTATCCGTATCCACAGCTACGCAACCACACACAGCTCCCAGAACACCCACTATATATATGTATAAGAATGGGGATGGGGCTGGGCAGGTGGGCTGCCTGCACCGCGAAGGCAACCCGTAAAATGGAGGTGAGCAGAGGTGTGGGCTGTGCGGCAATAGAAGCGAAAATGAAAGCCAAGAATTGCAATAAAACATAAAATTGCTGACTTCCTATTCGTTTGCCATTTCGGTTTCGTTTTCCCTTTTAATACCCATTGAAACTGGAAGAGTTGGGTATATAGAGGCCTCGTTTATGGGAGAGCTGAGAGAACTAAATTTAACGAGGACTACAGACTACAAATATCTACTACAAGTCCAAATTGAGTCGCTAGAGACTTATACCTTGTCATGCGGCGGAATATAACTGCATGGTCACATTCTTCAATGCCTGAGTACAGGGCATCAGCTAGTCGAGCATATCCAAATGTACAAGTATTTTTTGTTTGTGTATTTTCTCGGGTTTTTCTTTAAATGTCTGGGGCATTGTGCGCCGTAAGTGCGTGTGGGTTCTGCTGGGGTGTATGGCAAGCGTATGTTTGTGTGTGAGTAAGTATGTATGTGTGTGTGTGTGGCTATGCGTGCTGCTGTTGGCTGCGTCAGGACCAAGCTGCGACCGCATTTTTTCTTATTTTTTTATTAGGTTTTATTTGATTTACACTTGTTTTCCGCCTGCGCGCTGCTGTGCGTGCATGTGTGTATGTGTGTGTGTGTGTGGGAGGAGGGGAAGGCGTGTCGGAGTGGGCGTAAGTGAACGCTTGCTGGCAATCTGCGAAGCAAGTGCAGCGCTTAGTCATTTCCCTAGCATTGCGACTGGAAAATCACTTGACATGATCTATGCAGCATTCGCAAAGCGGCAAATGGGAAAACTAAACTGAGAGAAGTGATGGCAATTGGATTATGTGGAAAACTATCAGCTATAGGAAGTAGATGCACATGGGTGCAAACCACTATGAAATCGGAAAAACGCTCCCCTGATTAAGTGTTGTGCAATGCTCAAAGTGACCGAAGCTGAAGCTAGAGCTGAAAACGAGTTAAAATGTTGCAGCTTTAATAAAACGAAAGTTGCACTGTGAGCAACTGGGGGCGAGTATAAAGAAGAGATAGCGATAGAGAAACAGAGTAAGACAGAGACCAGAGATAGAGAAACAAGAGAGTGAGAGAGAGAAAGACACTGGAGCAAGATAAATAGATATTCCGTTTTGAGTTCAATATGAAATTTCACTTTTCAATCTCTCGGCAATAAGCAATAATATTCCAGCACTATTTTCGCTGAGTGTAATAACCTGACGTGCTGGCATGCATTTTACGATCCATTTGCAGTTTCCAACAGGCAGAATTAAACGCAGCTCGCTGCGCAAAGCTAAAGTACAATTAATTAAGCACGGACTGCAGCAAAAGGATTTTAATTAAAATTTTGTCGAAGCAGCACAAGCGATTCTCTCACTCCCTTCTCCTTCTCCCTCTCTGTCTCTCACTCTCGCTCTCTCATTCGCTATCCCTCTCTGAGTCGCACCTGAATTGGATTCCATTTGAATTTCATTTAATGCCTGAACTGCAATTGTAAGGCTTTCAATTGAAGCCGACAAATTTGTAATTGGCAATATTGTTGAAGAGTCGCAGTTGCCCCAAATGGATTTCATTGACTCTCGTTTATTGGCTCTTACTTGGCCATTGAGGGCTCACCTTGACACAGTGAGTGCTGCCGATCCGCCTGTCAAACATGCCTCTGTGTGGCTAAGCAAGCGAGATAAGCTTTATTAGTTTATGCACACTCGACCAGAATCCGGATGTAAATGCGGATAAAAAGGCAGCTAATCAAAAGCTGTTTACACTGGCGAATAGCTGTGCTCCGGTTGAAATTTCTATAGCCACTGTTCGCCCCCGAGCCTTGCCTGGTTTCTTGGCCTAGGTGTTAATGAGTGCGATAAGCTCAAGATTAAAATATACATAATTTAGCATGTTTGCCTCCTGCCTGGACTTTCCACTGTGCTCTTACACTATGTATGCGTCCCGCTCTACTGCTTTCCCTCTCTGTCTTTGGGCAGGTGTCTCCTTTACTCTACTCACTGGCCATTCAATAACAATAAATTCTGAGAACATATGTTTGGGCCCACATGCACAAAGGCCCCAAAGGCCCCAAGGCAACAGCTTAACTTACGACCACAATTTCAACTGGAGATTCGATTCGCATCGACGGCTAACAAAATATATATTTGAATGCAAGTCAAAGTCTAATTGGGAACTCGCAAACAAATGTACTTTAGGGCATATGCCTGACTCGAATATACCCTGATCATTCATTTTAACTGATTTCCACTGTTGGTTGCATTGGAATCAACCGATAACTGCAGTTATCGATTGTTCACATTCTTTACTTCCATGTTCTATTTGAACACGTATTATTTCAACCTTTTGGCCTGCGTGCGCTCACCTTTAAGCTCAACGCCATCCATACATTAGCCCCAAAGACAAAAACACCTTCACGCGTCACACACTCAAACACACACGCACACACATACTCACGTACACAGATACATATAGAGGAAAAGGACTCTGGTCACGATGGGATTAAGGTCAGAGCTATAAAACATGCAGAAGCACTGGCTAACTGGAGACTGCAGTCCTCGAGCCGTAGTCCATCACACACGCACACACACACACACATACGGCAGCCAGACATGGGGAAACAGCACACGTCGACACGACCTGCTGCTGCAGCACCTAACCTGGTGAGCTGGACTTTTTATTAGTTTAGCATACGGGCTACCGAGCATATATACAGCAGCTGCAAAAAGTATGTACTCAACTGAAGACATATGACAAGTAGTTAAAGAAATCAAAAGCGACTGACTGCACTCATCTATGGGAATTATGTAAGACACTAGGTACAACAAGTCTCCAGGCAAACGTGGTATTCATTAGAGTAATAATTTCAGATCAGATTCTTTTCATAATTTTAAATATATAGATAATTGATCAATAATCAAACAGTTGCTGTCAGACAAAGGCCCCGATCCGCAATCCACCATCTATGTTGTTGACATACCTAAGCCAACTCGCAAGCAAACATCTCCCCTCCAGACTATTAAGACGGCCTCTCATTCATATTTGTTCTTTCACATCCATCTTAAGCCATCCAATTGAAAATCAATCTTCCATCTTCTGTCTCCTATCTCCTAACATCTTCCATTTTCAATGTACCATGTCTATTCACCAATCTCACATCTCCAATCGATCTTCATGCTCACAGTTCCCTTACATTTGTCTGTCACTGTAGTTCTTGTGTTTGTTCTATGCTACTTTACCGCACACTCAATTGGGTTGTCCTCTGCAGGTCTTCAATTTGGCTGTACAAAGCTCACTAGCAGCCTGAGCTGTTAACTATTTAGCTGTACCTTGGACTGCAAAAGGTTTTCTCGCGCTGCGCCCATAAATATGCAACAATGTGTTCGCAAAACAACGTTTGATGTCTTTCGCCTGCAAAATATTTTGGGCACGGACAACGGACCCGCACTACCTTGTCGTCTGTGACCACACACAAACACACACGCCTGCAGAGGAACTGTTGCGTGTTTCGTCCCATGTTAATTATATAAATGATGATTTATGGCCCTCTGAGGAGACTTGTGGCAGCTCTGAAGTCAATCGGCTCTTTGAATTGGATATCTTACAACTTAGTTAGCAATTATGCTTATTTGTAAGTGAGAGTGCACTGGCCGAGACTGCTCGGCTGCCAGATACCCTGCACCCTTTCAAGCACCGATACTCGAATCATTCTTCGAAACGACACCAAAGAAATTACCACCTAAGTATGCCCAACCACAAGACCTAAAATTACATGTCTAACAGAGGGAGAGAGAGAGATTCTTGTGAGGAACCCAAGACTTCCCACGATTGGCAAGTCGAAAAATGGAGCTGGTAGAGCTTTGGCCACGAGGTCGAGCTTCCTGACCTTGTTTTTGTTGGTCTATTTTCAAAGCATTTCGAGGCATAAAAACAAACAGTCAACTTAACAGAGATAGATTTGCCTCATGGTTAGCAGAAAAAGCCGCAGGACCTACAAAGTGGTTAGCTGGCAGACACCCAGACCCTATCCCACTTGCCGCTACCCCTCCTTGGCCGCAAAAATGTATGCAAACGAAGTAAATTGGCAGGCTGACTGGCAGGAAACCAGAATCGGAGCACAGTCGACGACGCGAAGCCAGGATCAGGCCCAAATATAATTACGTTTTTCGATTTAAATATGAAATATTTACATGCTCACACGCACGCCCACATACAGAGACACACCTTCGCTGCTAACCTATGAAGCGTATACAATTATAATACTAAAATACAATTTTGTATGAAGCGTATACAATTATAATACTAAAACACAATTTTAATCAAGTTTTCACATTTTGGGTAATCACCAAAGTCAAATCACGATGCATACAATTTAAAAAAAAAAAAAAACTTTTCTTGTTTATTCCGAAACTTGCTTATTAAAATGGTCCCATCGAGATCTATCACAACGTAAGTCATCGATGTACGTTAGAATTTAATTTATTTATTTTCTCGTCTCATTTGCTTATAATATAGACACGAGTAAAAAGTATACGCAATCTGAATAGCTAAAGATAAAGATAAGAAAATGAATTAATAATTTAATTGTAAAGAATAAAGTAAAACTATATTCAAACGTCTGTATTATTCGATTGTCTAAATATATAATGTGTAAGTCTATGCATGGGAAAGCTTCTCCGCTTCTCTATATATACATATATACATGGCGAAATAGCGAATTGGGAAAATATTACTGAAGACCCGACATATATATATACAGGTATACGGACGGATAAAACAACTTAAGATGTGCGTCTTACCTGTGGGAATCAAGAGAAAAAACTCAAAGTATGGACAAATTGAGCTAAGTACAAGCCCAGCCAGAAATAACCAGGATATATCCTAAAAAGACACACAAAAATGATCAGTATCAAAATAAATTAGTAGTATTAGTAGTGCTCTAGTCGAAACTGCTCGACTAGGAAATACCGTGAACCCTGCGAAGAGCCTTTAATAGCTGACAAACAACACATACATACATACACGCACACACTTTTTACAAGTCTCCACTTTAAATTTTGGATGGGTTCAGGGTATGGAGAGCACATGGATTGATAACAATACTGTTTGAGGCATCGCTTACTTGAGCAAATCCAACGAACATTACTACACCAGCGAGTAAGTGAACACAGTTAAGTACGAGTAAGACAAGGGTTGCCACAAAAACATGCCTTAATTCTTTTGCATAGAATATGCTCATTAAACTCACAAAAACTTTTGAGGTGTATACTGTAACGTTTCCGTTAATATTTACAGTTAGTTATATATCATTATTTATACATACTGCTCAAGATGAGACCACAAAGGAGACCAAATACTACTGCAGTAACCATTGTCCAGATGCAAAAGAAGCGCACTTTACCCGCCAGATCACACTGGGGGGAACCCATGCTTCAAATTTATCAAAATGGGCTGATACTAAAAAGAAATCCAGTAACTAACAAAATAAACGAAAATAGCAATATAAAACTATCAATGGTTGTTTAAATATGAGTAAGTTTACATATAGCATCGCTTGCTTTGGTCGGTTGATTTGATTGGAACTTTATGGAGTGCTCTGAGTTTTGCAAAGGTGCTTTCCCTACTCATGCGTAATAAGCAGCACACACACTCACACACAAACGTGCTCTGCTAACTACGCAGCTGACGCAGGAATTACCTCTTATAGGTCGACGCGATCACACATGCAGCTAAATGTATTAATCTCTTACGAAATCGTGCTTCCTCTCTCGCTCCCTCGCTCTCTCTCTCACTCTCTCACTCTCTTCTCACACCCACTCACGCTTCCAGTTTCCACTGTTATCAACTTGAAAATATCCTTAAGCGAATGAGTTCGATTGTGTTCCAAGTGACACACACATACTCATGCATGCTCATTGGCATGGGAATCTGAGCTAGCGGCTGTGTTTCACGTATAGTTGTGGCTCCAACACATCTTTTGCATTAGTCAAAAGTTGTAATGTGTCTCATACTACACATCTTTATCCGAATCGACACGCTCCATGCCCTCCAGGTTGGCTTCCTTTCTAAACTGTTTTATTTTCGCTCATTTTATGCTGCCTGCCTATCGATAGTGGGCGCCATCGATAGTAAACGATAATGCCATCGATAGCTCGCCACCTCTAGTTGACACAATTCTTTCTTTTCGTACGAATATAGTTCATAGCTGACAAAGTCGTTGACGTGGACATTAGCAACTAAAATTGTGATGTCCCTCCATTCGTTGTTTCTGCTCCCGATTGAGCGCTTTGTATCGATACATACAAGCAGCGAAAAGCGAAAAGCGAAACAATAAAATTTCAAAAGCGAAAAATGAAAGCAATGTCAGACACATCAAAGTCAGAGCTGTTGCAGATTTTCATGCACTCGCACCCGAACCAATGCCAAATGCCAATACCAAGTCAACTGAAGAATCGCACAAAGTGTTGATAAAGCTATCGAGATTAGACGACGCAATGAATACCCTGTACCGATTTACCTTTTATATGTATATCAAGTTTGAAAAGCGCTTGAAGCTCTTGAAAAAAAAGTTCTGCATGATGCTGCATGATATTATTAACTAATGATATGCCGACGATCCACAGCTACTTTTCATATATAATCTATATCTTAGTTATTGATTTCAATATTGCTATCGATCATGCGTGAGCGACAATCCGATTCAACACAGATTGAGAAAAAAGAACATTTCTCTTGTAATCTGCATTCGATATACCCACAAATTCTCATGACCGAGGTATGCGAAATAAATGGCGTGGGCGTGGTTGTAGAGTGGGCAAGCGCAAAACCGAAATGGCGGGAAAATTGCAGCTTTTGCAAAAATAAAATCACAAAACTTGCAGAGCTGGAAAACTGGATGTCAAATGCAAATTGACAGCTTTCAATATCAATTTCAAAACAATCGCAGAGCAAGAGACACTTGCATAGAGAAAGAGTAAAGGGAGGGTAGATAGAGTAGAGTGTGAAAAATATAGATAGAGAGAGAGGAAGAGAGAGGAAAAATCAATTTGGTCTGGCATGTCAGGTGTAAACGAGGTTAAAGGAAAAAAAAACGTAAGCCATAGCTCAAATTACAAGCGACACTTTTAAAATATTTTGCAAATTCGTTTTGCAAAACTCGAGTCCAATTGGGTTGACAGGTTAAATTAATTAAATCAGATTTATGCGAGCGAATGTGAAATGCTTTTGATGTGGTATCTCCATTTTGACCTGATACACTTCTCCTCCCTCTCTCTCTCTCTCTCTCGCTCTCTCTCTCTCTCTCTCTCTCTCTCTCTCTCTCTCTCTCTCTCTCTTTCTCTCTCGGTCTTTCTTACTGTGTGGCTGAGCACATTTTGCAAATTAGAGTTTGCGGTGCCTGCGAGATATGCCTTTGCCTTAGCTCTTGCCTCGCTTGGCTTGGCCTCGCTCGCTTTTTGTTTATGAGCCAAGAATTTAAACGAGGTGTAGAGGCATTTGCATAAATTAACTTTAAAAGCACTGGCTGAGACTTGCAGCTTATCTGTATGGCAGTTAACGCGAGGAAGGGTTCGACTAAAACGAAACTTGAGCAAATTATAAAGCGAGTGTTGGCAAATCGGAAGATGCACTTGAGCTCAAATGCCAATGTCTTCGCCTTACTGTCAGCTTTTCTGTAACATGTAGACCAGGTGCAAGTCTCTCTACTTTGGCATTGACGCAAATGTATTTGTGTGTGAGCTTAATCTACCCCATGGCCGCTACAGAACAGCGTTAATCGGTTAAGGGCAAACTAGACGCCGCATATTGATTTTTTCCAAGAACTCAAATGCAGAACACCCCCACCCGAATCACCTTGGACACCACCCAGCCCCCCTTAGGCCAAGGCTTGAGTTGTGGATTTGTAATTACGGAATTAGTAGTTCAATGGCTATGCAATTGACAGTTTTTACGATTCGGAACGCCAGCCACAAGCAGCAGCAGCAATAAAGAGCCCCTCCTCTACTTATACTTGGCAATTGGAATTCGTATTTGATAAGGCATGGGTGGTTTTTGCTTTTTGCACAAATTTGTATAAGCTTCATTTGGGAAATTCATTAAAACTGTATATATGTATGTATATATTAGTATATTTATATCGCCTTCAGCTGCAAAAGCCAATATACCCTGCTAACACTTGTCTCTCCATTAGCGACAGTTCTGCTTGTGAAAATTATAAATTCGTTCAATTTGTTAACAAACAAATTGAAAATGTTTTGTTAACTAAGCTACAATAAAAAATAAAATAAAAAACTCTCTTTGCTGTATGAGAAATATATATAAAAGCTAACCGCTTTCCGTTCCAGTGCTTCTCGAGCGAGACGCAGCCGCCGAGCCATGACGGCAGTGATGGGCGTGGCAGGCAGCTCAACAACAGCAACCTCTATTTGGAAGCTGCCTTCGAAGACTTCCGCTTGGCAAACAAAATAGAATCAAGATGTTGTGTCACTTGTTGTTGTTCTTGTTGTTGTTGTTATCTTCTCTTGTTATTCTTATAATTGTGCATATGACCCTGTTTAATACAGTTCGCTGCGCAATTATGCGTTCGTCTAACATTTTCTTAGCCTTCTGATTTTTCTAAGCTACCTCTGACTTATGACTCTCAAAAAGAAACAACAAAGAAGAGGGTGTTCAGAGCATTTTGGAGCTTCTGTATAAGCTACTGAATAATTTATAAATAAAAGCTCTGATATATGTATAAGTATTTAATCTAACTCTTTCTGCTAGATATTCCCTCTATGTAAGTATTTTCTCTAGGTATTTTTTCTAAGCATTTCAATGAAGTATTTCCTCTCTATTTCTTCTATGTCATTTTTCTAAGTCAACAACTTATGTACTTATAATTATTGTATTTTTTTATAAGATTGCATCCTTGCCGGAAACTCCTTTGCACTTCGACTGGGACAGATCCGACAAAATAGGTTATGCAGAAACGTGATATTCTTTTAAGAGTTTTGTTTTTTTTTTTTTTCAATTTGATTAATCTGATTGATGTGTTTGTCTGTCAATGACTTGGGCAATGTTTAGATGAATGTGTAGACAAATGGTTTACAAACTGTTAAGTAATTAAACAGTTCAAAAAGACCTGAAATAGAAAAGTTAGGAAATTTTCAACTCTTGGCTTGTGCTTGTTTTTTTAGCGAGCAAAACAATTTGTTAATTGACAGCTTAAAATTTCGGACAAGAACAGCTGAGCCAAGGATTCAAATTGTCAAATGACAATTGATGGCTAAATAAACGGCGATTAATTGACATTGATGGAGCCCAGGCAAACGCAAAGGCGAAGGCGGAGGCAGTGGCTGTGGCATGGGCGTGGGCAAATAAAGAGGCTGTGGCGGAAACAGCTGCCCGGCAATTTGCCAAATTACTTTGCGGCTATAAATCAAAGCATCAAAGTTCTATAAAACAAACCTCCCCACATAACCCTCCGTATCCTCTGTGAGAACTACTAAGTAACTAACTGAGAGCGTGCAATTCGTCTGTGGAGAGCCGTTGTCCCAGGACAGCTGTCAAACTGCTGAGGCAGAAACTTACGACACCTCATTAAATATGCGCCACAGAAGTTCCCACAAAGCAGCTGCCAACTGTCGGCTAACAGATACGAGATCCTTGGCCAGGTGGAGCGCTTCATTTTCAATTTGGCCGACTCAGCGGCTCATTTGGATGCCCTGGGAGTCTTTGAACATGTTTGATTGAGGGTATATCATTTTTGTGATTTCTGATATGTTTTATATGAGAAAATGACATTTGGTATATGAATATAAAAAGTCAGATTGATTAGAGATTGATAAGAGAATAATAATGTGAGATTGAAGATTACAAAAATGTACATATATGAATATAAGGCTATTCCAGTTCATATATATATCAGTATAAGAGTATGGTAACATATAGTCCTATGAGTGTATAAACACAATCGTGAGAAAAGAGTTTAAGAGTACACAATATATAAATAAATCATGCAGCATAGATTAGTATGAGAGTAAGGGTATCTCTCAACCAGGCACACCCGATTAGAACGCTGTTACTTGCAATTTTGGCCCGGTTTTGTTTTCTTTTTAATCTCGTAAGTGTATGTGTCAACTTTTCTCACTTGGCTTGTTCGTTTGTTTGGCTTACGCACAGGTCCCTCCAACCTAAGGGAACCCCCTTGGAGTCAATGTCGAGTCAATAAAGCACGGAAATTGCCAACAAAAGAGCCACAAAAGCAACTGCAACAACAACAACACAACAACAACTGGACCTCATTTGTGTTGTTTTCTTCTCTGTTTTTTTTTTCCGTATATTCTCATGATATTCTATTATTCATTCCAATTTGTATGTGTGTTTGTGAGTGTGTAGTGAATCCTTCAAAGGTATATTTTTCATCATGCTGCAGCCCCGCGCTCTCCGCTTCATCTAACAAAAAGGTCACTGAAAGTTTTTTGCCTGGCCAAGCCTCTGACTTTGCGCTCGTTTATTAGATT